CACTTTGACACTGTCAAGAAGCCTTATGACCATCATAATCGTATAAGCCAGATAGGCCTATCACCTACAGGCCCTTATGTCAGTCATCAGTCAAAAAGAGGGTGTCTTGTCCTGCTCCTGAAATCTGCTCCTACATTCATCCCAGTCATCAGCAACAGAGCATTGGGGTAGGTGCTTGTCTGACGTCAATGTGTGCACAATTACAATGCTAATTTTATATGGTCAATAAAAATATACACTACTGGTCAAAAGTTTTAGAACACCTATTCATTCCAAGGTTTTTCTTTATTTTTACTATTTTCTACATTGTAGAATAATAGTGAAGACATCAAAACTTTGAAATAACACATCATGTAGTAACCAAAAAAGTGTTAAACAAATCTTTAATATATTTTATATTTGAGATTCTTCAAAGTAGCCACCGTTTGCCTTGATGACACCTTTGCACATTCTTGGCATTCTCTCAACCAGCTTCATGAGGTAGTCACCTGGAATGCATTTCAATTAACAGGTGTGCCTTCTTAAAAGTTCATTTGTGGAATTTCTTTCCTTCTTAATGCGTTTGGGCCAATCAGTTGTGTTGTGACAAGGTGAGGGGGTATACAAAAGATAGCCCTATTTGGTAAAAGACCAAGTCCATATTATGGCAAGAACAGCTCAAATAAGCAAAGAGAAACGACAGTCCATCATTACTTTAAGACATGAAGGTCAGTCAATACGGAACATTTCAAGAACTTTGAAAGTTTCTTCAAGTGCAGTCGCAAAAACCATCAAGCGCTATGATGAAACTGGCTCTCATGAGGACCACCACAGGAATGGAAGACCCAGAGTTACCTCTGCTGCAGAGGATAAGTTCATTAGAGTTACCAGCCTCAGAAATTGCAGCCCAAATAAATGCTCCACAGAGTTCAAGTAACAGACACATCTCAAAATCAACTGTTCAGAGGAGACTGTGTGAATCAAGCCTTCATGATCGAATTGCTGCAAAGAAACCACTACTAAAGGACACCAATAAGAAGAAGAGACTTCCTTGGGCCAAGAAACACGAGCAATGGACATTAGACCGGTGGAAATGTGTCCTTTGGTCTGGAGTCCAAATGTGAGATTTCTGGTTCCAACTGCCGTGTCTTTGTGAAACCCGCTGTTGGTGAACGGATGATCTCTGCATGTTTATTTCCCACCGTAAAGCATGGAGGAGGAGGTGTTATGGTGTTGGGGTGTTATGGTGTTATGGTGTTGGGGTGCTTTCCTATCATTGCTACGCTGACGATACACAACTAATCTTCTCCTTTCCCCCTTCTGATAACCAGGTGGCGAATCGCATCTCTGCATGTCTGGCAGACATATCAGTATGGATGACGGATCACCACCTCAAGCTGAACCCTGGCAAGACGGAGCTGCTCTTCCTCCCGGGGAAGGACTGCCCGTTCCATGATCTCGCCATCACGGTAGACAACTCCGCTGTGTCCTCCTCCCAGAGTGCGAAGAGCCTAGGCGTGACCCTGGACAACACCCTGTCGTTCTCCGCCAACATCAAGGCGGTGACCCGCTCCTGCAGGTTCATGCTCTACAACATTCGGAGAGTGCGACCCTGCCTTACACAGGAAGCGGCGCAGGTCCTGGTCCAGGCACTTGTCATCTCCCGTCTGGACTACTGCAACTCGCTGTTGGCTGGGCTCCCTGCCTGTGCCATTAAACCCCTACAACTCATCCAGAATGCCGCAGCCCGTCTGGTGTTCAACCTTCCCAAGTTCTCTCACGTCACCCCCCTCCTCCGCACACTCCACTGGCTTCCAATTGAAGCTCGCATCCGCTACAAGACCATGGTGCTTGCCTTTGGAGCAGTGAGGGGAACGGCACCCCTGTACCTTCAGGCTCTGATCAGTCCCTACACCCAAACGAGGACATTGCGTTCATCCACCTCTGGCCTGCTGGCTCCCCTTCCTCTGCGGAAGCACAGCTCCCGCTCAGCCCAGTCAAAACTGTTCGCTGCTCTGGCACCCCAATGGTGGAACAAGCTCCCTCACGACGCCAGGACAGCGGAGTCACTCACCACCTTCCGGAGACATTTGAAACCCCACCTCTTTAAGGAATACCTGGGATAGGCTAAAGTATTCCTTCTAACCCCCCCCCCCCCCCCCCCCCCCCCCCCCCAAATTGTAAAGTGGTTATCCCACTGGCTATAGGGTGAACGCACCAATTTGTGAGTCGCTCTGGCTAAGAGCGTCTGCTAAATGACGTTAATGTGCCCTTGAGCAAGGCACTTAACCCTAATTGCTCCTGTAAGTCGCTCTGGTTAAGAGCGTCTGCTAAATGACTAAAATGTAAATGTAAATGTGTTTTCCTGGTGACACTGTCTGTGATTTATTTAGAATTCAAGGCTACCACAGCATTCTGCAGTGATACGCCATCCCATCAGGTTTGGGCTAAGTGGGACTATCATTTGTTTTTCAACAGGACAATGACCCAACACAACTCCAAGCTGTGTAAGGGCTATTTTACCAAGAAGGAGAGTGATGGAGTGCTGCATCAGATGACCTGGCCTCCACAATCCCCCAATCTCAACCAAATTGAGATGGTTTGGGATGAGTCGGACCGCAGAGTGAAGGAAAAGCAGCCAACAAGTGCTCAGCATATGTGGGAACTCCTTCAAGACTGTTGGAAAAGCATTCCAGGTGAAGCTGGTTGAGAGAATGCCAAGAGTGTGCAAAGCTGGCATCAAGGCAAAGGTTGGCTATTTGAAGAATCTCAAATAGAAAATATATTTTGATTTGTTTAACACTTTTTTGGTTACTATATGATTCCATATGTGTAATTTCATAGTTTTGACGTCTTCACTATTATTCTACAATGTAGAAAATAGTAAAAATAAAGAAAAACCCTTGAATGAGTAGGTGTTCTAAAACTTTTGACCGGTAGTGTATATAACATAAACATACTGTTGACATGTAGGCTATGGTGTAATGGAATGTTTTGCCTTGTGTGGTAGGTTTTGTGGGTTTTGACACTCTTATGTAGGTGCCATTACCAGCCATAAAATAACTACCGTGGTAGGTTTTGTGGGTTTTTACACTCTTGTGTAGGTGTCATAACCAGCAATAAAACAACGCAATATATGTCACAACAGGTCTAAATATATGGGTCATGACAGAGTTATGACCATATTATAACAGGTTATGGCATGTTATGTCAGCTGTTATGACATATTATGACATGGTTATGACCATGTCATAATGTGTTATGAAGCTGGGAGTCAAGTAAAGTGTTAACGATCAGTCTATGCCGGCGCAGAATTCGACTGTCTGAAAAGGTACAGACGCTTCTGATGTGGGCTTTGTTTAATTGTCAGTAAAACTATCAATTGTCGCTATCGACATGTTACTGTAGCTCAGTTCTATGTCTGTAAAGGGTTGCGGTAGATATAACTTTATTGCCACGCCCTAGTTGTCATACATACGCAACAGGACCATTATTCTGCATGTGAGTTGACATGGAATTTTATGATATTTTCTTATCGTTTTATCAGAAAACCAATAAAAAAAGGGAGTTTAAACGTTAAGCAAAATTGTTCATTTGTCACAGGACAGACAATTCAAAACAAACTGTTTTACCATGTGTGAATATGTTATTCAATGCGTTTCTATGGTCTAACAGCAGTAAGGCCAAATTCAATGTTTCATCAAATACTTTTTTAAATATATTTTGGGGATACTTACAGGGATCCTAAAATAAAACATCTAATAGCTAAATGATCCTTGTTATGACCATCTTAAAACAATTCCATATGTTAGCTTAGTAGAAAACTATCACCGGGCCCTTAGACCTTAGGGGGTGTCAATAGACCAGTAAGAAAGAGAGTTCCAAACCTCTCTGCCAATAATGATCCGTTTCCCCCTCCCCACTCAGACCACTCCCAGACAGTCCTAGCAAAATTCTTGCTTGAGAAATTGCTCTTTACTAAGAACCTATTTTTTGTTTCTTTTTGACCACTTGAATTGAAAACAAACACAGTAAGGTACTTAATTGTTAGCCAGAAATGATTTGATATTGAGATAAAAATGACTGCACTGGACCTTTAAATCCTGTTATATTGATACAATTCCCATTTTGTATGTAATTATGATACTTAAAGGGATAATTCACCCAAATTACAAAATTACATATTGGTTTCCTTACCCTGTAAGCAGTCATGTCATTGTTAGTCATGTCCACATAATCTATAAGTAACTTAATTGAGCTGCATAACACATTTTACATACTTTAGGATGAATTGGACATGAAGCACAAAAAATGCTAATATCGGTACCATTGACATGAATTGGATTTGTGCCACAAATGCTAAAAGGTTAGCATTTGGAAACAAAAGTGGCCAGGTAAACAAAACCAAAGCATGGATTTCTGTCCTACCTTGTCCATAGACTGCTTACAGGCTAAGACAACCAATATGTCATTTTGTAATTTGGCTGAACTATCCCTATTTATAATACTAACAAAAAGGAATTCAATACACTAGTCATCCACTGGTTATTGTAGCTCAGGGATGGGCAACTCCAGTCCTTGGGGCCTGATTGGTGTCACACTTTCCCCCCAACCCTAGCTAGCACACCTTATTAAACTTATTGGGGCCATACTTGCAAACATTAGAAAAAGTTTAAGTTTAACCTTGACCTCAGTCTCAAAATGCGCATCAAGCATCAGCCAATTAAAATCATTGACGTAATTGCACGTGATCAAATGCTGTATTGTAGTTGCTTGGGTCAGATAATTAATCTAGTACTGAAAACATAAGTAGCGTCTTGTTGGAGCTTCTTGTATGGAGTATTGTTGGAGTGTTCTAAACTGGAGACCTTGATTATTGGAGTCAGGTGTGTGCCAGCTAGGGCTGGACCAAAAGTGTCACCAAAAGTGTGTCACCAATCAGGTCCCCGAGGACTGGAGTTGCCCATCCCTGTTGTAGCGTATGGTATATGTTATAACCCTTACTGTATGTCTTCCATGAGATGTGTAACAGTAGTAACAGAAGTAACACTCTTCATTGTCTCTGATAGTAAACAAGCGAGAGATGCCATGGTGAATGCACTGAGGAACTTTGAACTGAGTGATCCTGATGTGGGTCAGCTGAGATGCCTGCTACATGGACCAGTCGGTGCAGGGAAGTCCAGCTTCATCAACTCAGTCAACAACGTTTTCCAAGGACGATCAACACATAATGCCCTGGCATCTGCTGCCACTGGCACCAGCTTCACCATGAAAGTAAGTTGGTTTGCCTAATAAATGTAACTACACCATTCAGGGATGGGAAACGGCTTCCTAATATACCTTGGTACACTAAGACATTTCATGAGCCACATACAGGCAGAACAGAGACATGATGAGAGACATATAGAAACAAAGAGTGGTCTTCTGCAGTCTTTTAAAGAGGCCCAGTGCAGCCTAAATTCCGTTGTTCCTGTGTTTTGTATCATATTGTACAACAGCTGATAATAAGAACACTGTAAAAGTGTGAAAAAATGTGATCAGTGTTATTTCCTGATAGTTGCTAGTTGAAAATACAATTTACACAGGACCTTCTAATCAGCAGGTTTTACATGGCAGAGTTTTGGATTGCCTGGTGACATCATCAGGCGGTATACGTTAATAGACCAATAATAACAAAGAGAGTTCCAAACCTCTCTGCCAATAACAGATAGTTTTCAGGTTACATATCTCTCCCATTAGGCCCTCCAATCAGGCCCCTCACTCACACCAGCTCCCAGACAGTCCTAGCAAAATTCTGTCTTGTGAAATAGGTTTTTGCTAAAAAGCTATTTTGGTTTCATAATGGAAAACAATTACAGTAAGGTACTTAATTGTTACCCAGAAATGATTTGATATGGCGCTAAAAACGTCTGCATTGGGTCTTTAATACAAAACGTAGTGAGTCACAGATATGTAGGTTTCAAAAAGTAGGATCATGGAAAGGATAGATACCTGCACACTGTTGGAAACATGGAAAAAGATCCCAAACCTAGGTTCAGAAGCACACATTTACACTGAGTGTACAAAACATCCCCCCCATGAGGCGCCATCTTAGTAAGATAACAATGCGCTAAACCGACTTCCTGATCTTCAAATGCGCCATTGAGATTTCACATAGGGATTAATTGTTTTATATACACTGAGTGTACAAAACATTATGAACACCTGCTATTTCGATGACAGACTGACCAGGTGAATCCAGGTGAAAGCTATGATCCCTTATTGATCCCTTATTGATGTCACTTGTTAAATCCACTTCAATAAGTGTAGATAAAGGGGAGCAGACAGGTTAAAGCCTTGAGACAATTGAGACATAGATTTTGTACAGTATGTGTGCCATTCAGAGGGTGAATGGGCAAGATAAAAAAAAAAAAAAAAAGAAAGCAAGACAAAAGATGTAAGTGCCTTTGAACGGGGTATGGTAGTAGGTGCCAGACGCACTGGTTTGTGTTAAGAACTGCAATGCTGCTGGGTTTTTCACGTGTGTATCAAGAATGGTCCACCACCCAAAGGACATCCAGCCAACTTGACACAACTGTTGGAAGCATCCCTATGGAATGCTTTTGACATCTTGTAGAGTCCATGCCCCAACGAATTGAGACTTTTCTGAGGGAAAAAGAGGGGGGGGGGAGATTTGAGGGAGGGAGGGAGGGGGGCTGATGCTGATTGGCTGACAGCTGTGGTATATCAGACCATATACCACGGGTAGGACAACATATGTATTTCTACTGCTGTAATTACATTGGTAACCAGTTTATAATAGCAATAAGGCACCTCTGGGCTTTGTGATATATGGCCAATATACCACGTGTTGCATCATGCCTAAGAACAGCCCTTAACCGTGGTATATTGGCCATATACCACACCCCCTCAGGCCTTATTGCTTAATTCTACTGTTAAGTTACATACTTTCAGTTGAACTGAAACGCTAGTCTTGCACCTTTACTTTGTGCATCTTTTTGCACTTTGCACATTTCAGGGCATTGTGTCCTAAATAAATTATATATTTGTTAATCTGAGCCTCAGTTGAGGATGTGTTTTATGTTTCCGAGTGTGTGGGTTTCTATCCCTTCCATCGAAAATAAAATGTTTATTTTTAGTATAAGACTCACTACATTCAAGGCCGTAAAGGAGAAAAACGTCTTCCCTTTGCATTCAATGATGTCATGGGTCTGGAGACAAAGAAAAATGGGTTGCACCCTGATGACATCATCAATGCTCTGAAAGGCCATCTACCTGAGGGTTATGAGGTAATTCAGAAGTCATAAACATACACACACACACACTAGTCAAAGATGAAAATTTGATGCAAACAAAGTAGCATCATCTGACAAATCTTATATTTTCTTGGCCAGTTCAATCCATTACACCCATTATCGGCCCAAAAATAAGAATACATACAGAATCCTGGTTTAAGTGGCAAAACTCATTGTCTGGTGAGTATTGTGACAGCGGACACAATCTCTCTCATGCATAAGGATGTCATAGACAAGATGAAGCACATCAGGGCAGAAGCCAGTAAACTGGGTAAGTAAGCTCTTCAAACCCTTTATGTTTCTTAGCATTTCTAATCTTATCTTAATGGTAACTGTAACTATGGTTGGGTATTCAGCTGTAGTAGCTCTTGACTTTTAAATATTACATGACAGTGTTACTTAAGTTAGTCCTTATATTCATTACTTATATATTTATATGGCAGAAATCCCTCAAATTGTTGTCATGACCATGCCAGACAAGGCTTGTGAGCTGGTGAACAGGAATGTGAAGAGAATCTACTACAGCAAGGCAATCAAAGAGAAGGTAAATCACCTCAGATCTGATCAAATTTCACAATGGCCACGTTCCAGGCTGACTACATTGCCAAATCTCATAACGCCTGGATACGCTTTTACATATGAGCTGACCACATCATATGATAAAGCAATTTGATGCCCAAAGATACAGTTGATGACATGGCACGCAACAATTAGTTGATGCAATGCAACATCTGCAATGTAGTCAACCTGGAACGCGACCGTTAAACCTTGGTTGTGCTGACCTGATCCAAGGATCATCCCTCATGCTAAACTGATCCAAAGATCATCCCTCACTTTGACCTGATCCAAAGATCATCCCTCACTCTGACCTGATCCAAAGATCATCCCTCACGCTGACCTGATCATCCCTCACACTGAGCTGATCCAAAGATCATCCCTCACGCCGACCTTATCATCCCTCACGCTGACCTGATCCAAAGATTATTCCTCACTCTGACCTGATCCAAATATCATCCCTCACGCTGACCTGATCCAAAGATCAACCCTCACGCTGACCTGCTCCAAATATCATCCCTCACGCTGACCTGATCCAAAGATCAACCTTCACACTGACCTGATCCAAAGATCAACCCTCACGATGACCTGATCCAAAGATCAACCCTCACGCTGACCTGATCCAAAGATCAACCCTCACGCTGACCTGATCCAAAGATCAACCCTCATGATGACCTGATCCAAAGATCATCCCTCATGCTGACCTGATCAACCCTCACGCTGACCTGATCATCCCTCACGCTGACCTGATCATCACTCACGCTGACCTGATCCTCCCTCTGTCTGACCTGATCATTCCTCACACTGACCTGATCATCCCTCACGCTGACCTGATCCAGCCCTTTTGTCTTCATCGTTTCTCAGATGCAGATCTGCAGTAATGAGCTGGGCGTTCCCATGAACTGCATCTTGCCAGTGAAGAACTACCACAAGGAGGGGAGGCTGGATAACGACATGGACATCCTGATACTGAACGCCATGACTCAGATTATGAACTTTGCCAATGATTACCTCTGGGACCTCCAACAACATGCATGAGTGTCACACACCTGCATGAGTGTCACAACACCTAAATCAAGCGCTAGGTGTCATGAGAATTTTGTTATCTCAATGGTTGAAGTCAAACAATTCTTAAATCTTTGAATAATTCCCAGAAATTAATTAAACAAAGACCCAATCCTGCAATGGTCAGCCTTTATTCATTGAGAGCGCTCTGCAACAAAATGGTCGTACAATCTTTTTATACACACACCCTGCTGTAGGCGGGCTGTATTTTTCCACTGTACGCATCTTGTAAGCTCATGTGATTTTCCTCTGCTCTCCTGACCATCAGGTCACACACACACACACACACACACACACACACACACACACACACACACACACACACACACACACGTTCTTATCATAGTCTACTCCTTGCTCGAGTTATCGCCGTCCTCACAATATCCTGCAACATGCTTCATACTCTCTTCCAAGCCTAACGGTTTCCTCCCATCCCTAAATTGGGAGGCCTATTTCCTTATCTTGGTTTCACAGTTTGTCACAAGTTGTCTAGCCTAACAGTTCTCCTTCTTCTTTGTTGTTTGGCCTAACTCCTACTCACATTGCTAAATAGTAACACAATGTCATAATATTTACTTGTCCTACGCACACACGTTATTAGATTATAGTCTCATGATTCTAACACATTTCATAAAGTGGAGTATAATAATTAGTCATTACCAAATTCTTCTATCACTAGGACATTAGTGAGCCCTGCAGTATACTCCTAAGTGTAGATAACCTATATTTGATTTCAGAGTAGTTCAAGGTCAATGTAGTCTTTCAAGGTCAATGGAGTCTTTTCCCCCCATAGGAAATTTGTTTTCGAGGCAGGATAAAGTAAGATTGGAGGGAAAGTTCTCCTTTTAATGTTTTCATATTGTGGTTGTATCATTTCACTTAATGTAAAAGCTTAAATATACTGTTTAAAGGCACAATATCCACCTGTGTAACAAAAACTGGATATGCGTTATCCTACTTTAAACTATACATGTAACACCCAACAGTGTACATTTGCATTAGATAAGCTAATATCCTTGCTATAATGCAAAAACATGATATATAGATAACTCACATTGATTTTATATCAATCATTGTACTTTTAAATATTTGATGTGACATTATAGTTGTGTTTCATATGCTTTTCCCTAGTAAAAAAATCCTGTGGGATTTCAATAAGAATTATATTTAGAATCCAATAGAAAATCCTAAAAGATTTAGTGCAAAAAGCGTTAATGCAGATAGTCAGGGTAATTTTTGGTTAACTATTTAACTAACTATTAAGCAGTGTTATGGCTTGGGGGTAGAAGCTGTTCAGGGTCCTGTTGGTTCCAGACTTGGTGCATCGGTACCGCTTGCTGTGCGTTAGCAGAGAGAACAGTCCCATAGGAGTCCAATACGACTGGTTCCAAAATCTGACAGGATTTTTGGATTGGATTTTAATTAGATCCTTGTATTGGAATCCTATAGGATCCTGTAGGATTTCAATGTTTTTTTTTCTCCTATAGGATTTCTATAATTGTTTTCATTTGTATAGATATTTATGTTACATTCTACATTATTTATCCTCAAAACTTGGCTATACACTATAGTTAACTTGCCTGCTTAACATATGGAGCACCTACCCTCCAAACCTCTTAGACAATTACCTATGAAGGTGGATAGTGGACACGTGAACTCTCTTGCACTAACTCTATGCACACACACTGACACCCCAACACACACATACACACACATACACACACACACACTACATACACCCACACACACATAAGTATGTATACTGTATACTGATGCCACACACACACTCAAACACTTTCACAGTCCTATATATATACAGTGGGGGAAAAAAGTATTTAGCCAGCCACCAATTGTGCAAGTTCTCCCACTTAAAAAGATGAGAGAGGCCTGTAATTTTCATCATAGGTACACGTCAACTATGACAGACAAATTGAGAAAAATTTTTCCAGAAAATCCCATTGTAGGATTTTTAATGAATTTATTTGCAAATTATGGTGGAAAATAAGTATTTGGTCACCTACAAACAAGCAAGATTTCTGGCTCTCACAGACCTGTAACTTCTTCTTTAAGAGGCTCCTCTGTCCTCCACTCGTTACCTGTATTAATGGCACCTGTTTGAACTTGTTATCAGTATAAAATACACCTGTCCACAACCTCAAACAGTCACACTCCAAACTCCACAATGGCCAAGACCAAAGAGCTGTCAAAGGACACCAAAAACAAAATTGTAGACCTGCACCAGGCTGGGAAGACTGAATCTGCAATAGGTAAGCAGCTTGGTTTGAAGAAATCAACTGTGGAAGCAATTATTAGGAAATGGAAGACATACAAGACCACTGATAATCTCCCTCGATCTGGGGCTCCACGCAAGATCTCACCCCGTGGGGTCAAAATGATCACAAGAACGGTGAGCAAAAATCCCAGAACCACACGGGGGGACCTAGTGAATGACCTGCAGAGAGCTGGGACCAAAGTAACAAAGCCTACCATCAGTAACACACTACGCCGCCAGGGACTCAAATCCTGCAGTGCAAGACGTGTCCCCCTGCTTAAGCCAGTACATGTCCAGGCCCATCTGAAGTGCATTTGGATGATCCAGAAGAGGATTGGGAGAATGTCATACGGTCAGATGAAACCAAAATATAACTTTTTGGTAAAAACTCAACTCGTCATGTTTGGAGGACAAATAATGCTGAGTTGCATCCAAAGAACACCATACCTACTGTGAAGCATGGGGTTGGAAACATCATGCTTTGGGGCTGTTTTTCTGCAAAGGGACCAGGACGACTAATCCGTGTAAAGGAAAGAATGAATGGGGCCATGTATCGTGAGATTTTGAGTGAAATCCTCCTTCCATCAGCAAGGGCATTGAAGATGAAACGTGGCTGGGTCTTTCAGCATGATCATGATCCCAAACACACCGCCCGGGCAACGAAGGAGTGGCTTCGTAAGAAGCATTTCAAGGTCCTGGAGTGGCCTAGCCAGTCTCCAGATCTCAACCCCATAGAAAATCTTTGGAGGGAGTTGAAAGTCTGTGTTGCCCAGCGACAGCCCCAAAACATCACTGCTCTAGAGGAGATCTGCATGGAGGAATGGGCCAAAATACCAGCAACAGTGTGTGAAAACCTTGTGAAGACTTACAGAAAACGTTTGACCTGTGTCATTGCCAACAAAGGGTATATAACAAAGTATTGAGAAACTTTTGTTATTGACCAAATACTTATTTTCCACCATCATATGCCAATAAATTCATAAAAAATCCTACAATGTGATTTTCTGGATTTTTTTTTCTCATTTTGTCTGTCATAGTTGACGTGTACCTATGATGAAAATTACAGGCCTCTCTCATCTTTTTAAGTGGGAGAACTTGCACAATTGGTGGCTGACTAAATACTTTTTTTCCCCACTGTATATATATATATATATATATATATATATATATATATATATATATATATATACCTCAATTACCTGAAAATCGACTTGGTACTGGTACTCCCTGTACATAGCCATGTTATTTTTACTCATATTGTTATTCGTTATTCACTATTATTCTTCGTGTCACTATATATGGCCCTCTGTAGCTCAATTGGTAGAGCATGGCGCTTGTAACGCCAGGGTAGTGGGTTCGATCCCCGGGACCACCCATACGTAAAAATGTATGCACACATGACTGTAAGTCGCTTTGGATAAAAGCGTCTGCTAAATGGCATATTATTATATTATTATATTATTATATATATATATATATAGTGACACTCAACATTAAGGATTGTCCGCTTGTCCGGGGCAAGTAAAAAAAAAAGTTGGACAACCAGAATATAGATTTCATTTGTCCGAAAACCACAATATCAAACAAAAACCACAATATCAAACAATTACTCAGATCAGAATTGGATCAGGCACTGCCACAGCGCACAGCAGTGCATGGTTGACATTCTGAGTAATTTGCCTATATTCTTATTTGCTATAGCTTATTTCAATATATATGTTATATTTACACAAAGCAAGAGAACAATGTAGACAGAGCCATGAGTCTCACCAAAGCATCGCAAAACATCCGGTCAGAATATATGTTGTTGTTTTTCTCTCTCTATTGAATGTCGGATGATCTGGGCCAATAGCGAAGTCTATTTTTTATGCGGAAACTCCGGTGTGTTATTGTTGTAGAAGCCCAAATGTTCTGTTTTCTCTCCATTTGATATGAATATGACTTGGCATATTAAGCCACTCTCAGTTTAATGCATGCTAGATTTCTCCTGCCACGCTTTTTCATGATAAAACAATGAATTAATCTAACGGAGTTCTAGGCTATCTCAGAAGGTTTTAAGTTGTTTTTGAATAACGGTGACCCGTCAATCAGGGCAGGCTTAGCCCCACATGTTTTTAGCCCCACCTGTATAGCTTTAAAAAATATATATAATAATAATATTTATTTTATTTATTTATTTTGCCTGTTTTGCATGTTATACGTGTCACATATCAGTTTGCAAACAATATAAAATCAATAAATAATTGAGTTAATAAAGCTGCATACAAACATGGTCTCCTTTTTGCTTTATTGACTAAGGCAGCTCCAAAATGCAGGTGTTTCAGCCTAGCTCAGTGCTTTCTGTGGTGGTGGGACAGCCAGCGGAAAATACAGAGTGTAAGGGTTGGTAATGTTCTCTAGTTGCACCATGATTGGCTCAGCGTTCTGTCACTCATGGGGACACTACGTCACCACAAAAACTACAGGGAGAGCTTGAAAATTCAAGCCCCTTGGGTGCTGCCATATACAGTGAGGGAAAAAAGTATTTGATCCCCTGCTGATTTTGTACGTTTGCCCACTGACAAAGAAATGATCA